GAGGTCAAGAGATCGAGACCAGCCTGGTCAACACAGTGAAACCCCGTCTCTACTAAAAATACAAAAAAAAAAATTAGCTGGGCATGGTGGCGCGTGCCTGTAATCCCAGCGACTCAGGAGGCTGGGGCAGGAGAATTGCCTGAACCCGGGAGGCGGAGGTTGCGGTGAGCCGAGATCGCGCCATTGCACTCCAGCCTGGGTAACATGAGCGAAACTCCGTCTCAAAAAAAAAAAATTAAAAAAATAAAATTAAATAAAATAAAATAAAATGTGAGTCTGTATCATTGACTTTTTTAAAGTTTTTTTTGTTTCTTTTTTTTAACAAGGTCTCCTTCTGTCACCGAGGCTGGAATGCAGTGGTGTGATCACGGCTCACTGTAGCCTCAACCTCTTGGGATCAACTGCCTGCCTCAGCCTCCCAAGTAGCTGAGACAACAGGCACACGACACCATGCCCAGCTAATTTTTGTATTTTTTGTAGAGACAGGGTCTCACTATGTTGTCCAGGCTTGTCTTGAACTTCTGGCCTCCAGGAGTCCTCCCGCCACCACCTCCTAAAGTGCTGGGATTACAGCTGTGAGCCACCACATCTGGCCAACCTCAATTTTTGAAAAGGTAATACATTCAAATTCAAAAGTTCAAACATTTTCACAGGAAATCTTTTTCCCATACTTGGCCACCTAATTCTTCTTCCACAGGCAAAGAGATAATCATTTTGTTTCCCAAAGAATGTTCAGGTATGTTCAAGTGAATGTTTTCATATACATCCTTTTTCATTTTTTTTAAAATGCTCTTTCAGAAGATTCACACTGTTAATTCTTAGCACACTATATATACTATTCTGCACCTTGCTTTTTTATTTAACAATGTTATCTTGGAGAAGTCTCCAAGTCAGTGTTTTATTTTGTATTATTATTTAGAAGTAATTGGATCTCCAAAAATTGAACTGAGACATTTAAATATTCATGTATATTAGCTCTTTTTATTACTTATGACTTTCAAGTAAAAACCCCTCAGCTATTCATTTGCATTGCATTTCTCAGGAAGGTAATAATGGATGGCCTTCTTGGATGCAAATGCAAATGCTGTTTGCATAAGGGAGTGTCCCATCTAAGGAAAATATTCTGGGAGAAAACTGCCAGGCACCTTTGGAAAGAAATAAAATCACCTATGAGGACAACAAATGAGGATAGATAAGCCTAATAAAACGATATTCTTATTCTTTTTTTTTTTTTTTTTTTTTTGAGATGGAGTTTCGCTCCTGTTACCCAGACTGGAGTGCAATGGCGCCATCTCGGCTCACCGCAACCTCCGCCTCCTGGGTTCAGGCAATTCTCCTGCCTCAGCCTCCCGAGTAGCTGGGATTACAGGCATGCGCCACCATGCCCAGCTAATTTTTTGTATTTTTAGTAGAGACGGGGTTTCACCATGTTGACCATGATGGTCTCGATCTCTTGCCCTCGTGATCCACCTGCCTCGGCCTCCCAAAGTGCTGGGATTACAGGCATGAGCCACCGTGCCCGGCCCGAGATTCTTATTCTTATAAAATAAAGTTCTTGCTGGATGCAGTGGCTCAGGTCTCTTAACCCCAGCACTTCAGGAGGCTGAGTGGGGAGGATCTCTTGAGGTCAAGAGTTCAAGACCAGCCTAGGCAACATAGTGAGATCCCCCTTCTCCACAAAATATTTAAGCTGGGCATGGTAGTGTGTGGCTGCAGTCACAGGGACTCAGGAGGCTGACATGGGAGGATCCCTTGAGCCCAGGAGTTTGAGGCTGCAGTGAGCTATAATCAGGCCACTGCACTCCAGCCTGGGTAACAGAGATCCTGTCAATAAATAAATAAATAAATAAATAAGGTTATCGCTTAACTCTATTGAAATTTTACAAGTTAACCAACTTTAGAAATAAATGCTTTAAAATATAAACTATTAAAATATCATTTGATTTAAATATTAAATTCAAATTTTATATAGAAAATACCCACTATTCTTTCATAGAGAAAACCAAATATACTTACGATTAAATGGTGACACATATTTATCACCCACAGTAATGTATTCCATTTCACTAAAGAGGCCAATCCTTTCCATGTCCGTTTTCCCTCCTCTTTCCACAGGCATGGTGGCTTCTTGTGGTGGTGCGGTCTATACTGCTAACTTCAAAACGTTCCTTAGGGTCACTTCTTTTACAGCAAAGTCCTAATTTACACTGACAATAAAAATAAAGGGGCAAAGGTTAGGAAAAAAGTGATTATTGATTATCAGTTCTAAATACTTCCAACTTCCAGTCTAGGAGTTTGGCTTTTTGTTTTTGTGTTTGTTTGCCGCCCAGGCTGCAGTGCAATGGTGCCATCTTCACTCACTGCAACCTCCGCCTCCCGGATTGAAGTGATTCTCCTGCCTCAGCCTCCCGAGTAGCTGGGATGACAGGCATGTGCCACCACGCCCAGCTAATGTATTTTTAGCAGAGACGAGGTTTTATCATGTCGGCCTAGGCTGGACTTGAACTCCTGACCTCAGGTGATCCACCCGCCTCTGCCTCCCAAAGTGTTGGGATTACAGGTGAGAGCCCCCACGCCGGGTCAAGAGTTTTAAGGTTTACTGTAAAATATTAGTCTCCTACTCTATGGGGAAAGAATCTACTCTGCGGGGCTGGGGGAGAATACTGGGAATCAAAATTGTCCATAAGAGCCTCCCCCTTGACTCTCCATGTGAAGTGCCCACAAATTACAAAGGAATGTGTAAAATATCATCTGTTGCACTGCCATTTATCTGTTGGAAGTGATAAAATTATTAGTATATAGTGTATGATAAACACATCCTTTTGGGAAGTTCAGGGTAGATTTTAAAATAATTGTATAAAGGCAGGCAGTTTTACAGTTTAGGTAAAATGATTTCAGCATCCTGCATTGTCTCTTATATTTTAAATATAACAGCTTTTCAGAATGCACAACACATCTAGATATTACCCTACCATGCTTGAGGTTGTTTTTCAAGTTTAAATAAATATAAGAAATGTGGCACTGGTAAATTATCAAGGGAATGGGGAAGAGAACAATGATTTAGGCAAGATAAAAACAAGAACAAAAACAAAAATTCCACAATGATTTCTGAGTATTTGTTAATGGGCATACTTCAACTCTGAGCTTTCTTTGGAAATAGCCACTTCCAACAAAGGTGAAATATTAAACATGCAACTCCTTATTTAAAAATTAATGTATTTTTAGTAGAGACAGGGTTTCACTATGTTGGCCAGGCTGGTCTGAGCCACTGCGCCCGGCCTTTTACCTTAAATTTAGAGCAAGCTGTTTCAGTGCCTCCTTGCAAGCCTGCCTGAAACAGTGGCTCACCTGAGCATGAATCATTGCTAATGTGTAATGATTAACATCAAAGGGGCAAGTGAAGATTCATTTTAAACTAAAACATAAGCAAACATAACACCCTTCCCCACATCCTACCTCTTCCATTGATCAGGGATGCTTTAAAACCAAATTTCAGTCAAGATGCAGTCCTTTGATTTACCGTATATTTCAAAGCTCCACCCCACTGCCCAACCACAAAGGATTCCTGTGCTGCTACTGGGGCCTAAAAGTCTCAGGTCCTGTATCAGCCAGCCTCATCTGTCACCATGGAAACCCCCTCGTGGCCCCTTGGCTGCAATTGTCCTCTTTCCGTCGTTAGGCTGGGCTCTCTCCAGCCGCAGGACCATCGTCCATGCCATTTCTCTGGAGGCAGACCCTTTCTCTCCCCACCCTATCCCTCGCCATTAACACTGCGTCTTCGGACTGCTCAGTTTCTTAATCACTTCTTTAACTCCATCACAGTGCCATGTACTTCTTCCAAGCCCTCATCCTGCTTCTCTGCTAGGTCATCAGCTTACATTCGTCGTGAGGGATCCTTTCACTAACAGCTGTTTGCCCCATGACACCTGGCTCCACAAGAGCAGGAGCTGCAGCAACGCTGAGGTTCCTCCCTGTCACGGGATCCCGGCGTCCGCGCAGCTCCCGGCACACAAGCCAGCCAGGGAGGACGGAGGGAAGAAGTTCTTGCCTAGAACTTTCCCACTACTATTTTTTTTTTTTTTTTTTTTTTTAGTAGACGCGGGGTTTCATTTTGCCCAGGCTAGCCTCGAACTCCTGAGCTCAGTTGATCCCCCTGCTTCGGCCTCCCAAAGCGCTGGGATTACAGGCGTGAGCCACCGCGCCCGGCCCCGCCACTACTTAGCTCTTCTTGAGCAACATTTTCGAAATCATTTATTCATTTATTTAACACAGACTCTGCAAACCCCTTCGGGCCAGGCTTGCTGGTACAAACTAGAAACACAGATTTAAGAAGGCACAGATGCCGCCCCAAGGAGCAGCATCTATTAGACAAGAAAACAGTGTGTAGCCGAAGTATGGCACGTTCCCTTGGAAAGGTAAGAAAGGTACGGATAAAGTGTCGTGGGAGGTGAAGAGGGGGCAGAAAAGTGGAGGAGGTGATGGATGTTTTTCCCAGGAAGTAAACGGAGGCTCGGAAGAGGCAGGCATCTAAGGGGCAACCCCTGGCGTCGGCGAGGACCAAGTCACCTCTCCCGAGGATACCCACGCCGACAGCCGAGATCAGGTTGCCCCAGGTAGTTCAGATTAACCGCGCTGCAGGAGCGGCGAGGCCTCCCAGCCGCCGGCCAGACGCCCGGGCCGCCAGGCGCCTCAGCACGTTCTGCTAGACCTGGTGTTGATTGTGGTGTGTTGCCCCGGATACGGGAGAATCCATTACAAGGACGCTGCGGGGGGGATACGAGGAGGTTCGAGTCCGCACTGAAGAACACATACAAGGATGTGTGAGCCTCTGTAGGACAGAAAAGACTTAACTGAGAGAATTCATCAAACATAGGTTTTCGGCCACCCGCCTCTCCATGCAGTCGGTGAGGAGCTGTATTCTGGTAAGCTCCGTGACGTATTGCCGCAGAGCATATCGGGAGTTGTAGTTGTCCCGACCGGGCCCCGCCCCTCGGCCGGCGGTGACGCCACTTCCGGGCCGGCCCTCCGGAACCTTCTGACTGGCGTCGGCGCCCCTGTCACCGCCGCGTCGCGGGCATGGTGAGTATTTCTGCTCGTTACTGAACCCCGTGTTTCCCCCGGACTTTGGCAGCTGTCGCGGGCCACGCTCCACAGCGCCTGAAGGGAGCTGGTCCTGCGAGGGCCCACTATGGCTGCTGCGAGCTCCGTGGACTGGGCGGCCCTCCCTTTCGCCTGTCTCCGCTCCGGGCTGGAGGGAAAGTGCCCCACACACGTGTGCACCCCGCCTCGGCCACCCTGGACGCGAACCCCCGCCCCTCCTCTGTGTGAAAGCATTTTGAGAGACTTTTCGGAGTTTTTGAAGCCTAGGAAGAAAGGTTTTACCTGGGAAAGAGGCGCAACTTTCTTCTAATATATTACCGTAGTACCCCTAGTACTGTCTCCTGGTTTCCCTCCTGTCTCATTGCTCAGCAAGGCTCTCCAGTCGCTATCCTAAATGTTGGTGCTCCTCAGGGATGCTTTACACCCTATTCGTTCTCCTAAAATTTTTAAGTTATACCTCTCTCCTGAGCTCCAGACCCACAGATCTGCTAACCGTGCCTTCACTTGGATAGCTCATATGCATTTCAAACTCTGCGAGTTCCAAACTGATCATTTTCACCTCCCCACACTCCACACCTGCTCTTCCTCCAGGAACCCCCAACTCTGTAAATGGCACCACCATACACCCTGTTATGCCTGCTCAAAACCTGGAAATCATCCTTCACATGTTCCTCTTCTCAACTCCTGAGCTAGTCTAGGAAGACTAGTGCTTTCATGAATGATGTCTTATGGAATCTTCACAACCACCCTGGGAAGATGTATATTTTTCCAGTTTTACAGAAGAGAGACTTCAGTGCTTCGTTAAAATGTGTAGAATTATACAGTAAGAGGCCGGGTGCAGTGGCTCACACCTGTAATTGCAGCACTTAGGGAGGCTGAGGGGGGCGGATCCCCTGAGGTCGGGAGTTCGAGACCAGCCTGACCAACCCCGTTTCTACTAAAAATGGAGAAACCCTGTTTCTACTAAAAATACAAAATTAGCCAGGCATGGTGGCGCGTGCCTGTAATCCCAGCTACTCCGGAGGGTGAGGCAGGAGAATATCTTGAACCCAGGAGGCGGAGGTTGCAGTGAGCCGAGATCGCCCCATTGCACTCCAGCCTGGGCAACAAGAGTGAAATTCTGTCTCAAAAAAATAAAAATAAAAATAAAATTATACAGTAAGTAGCAGAGTTAAAATTTGCTGTGTTCTGTCTTTATAACTTTTATCTTCAGTATCTTTAAGCATTTTTTATTTAAATGGGTGCATACTAGTTTGTATGGTGGTATTTTTCTTTAACTAATTTCTTATTGGTAGCTATTTAAGTGGTTTCCATCTACTTTTTTGTGATGAACAGCAGTAGGATAAATGTACAACAGTGAAGCTAAATTTGTCCTGAACTTCCTTATTTCCTTAGAATAAATTCCCAGAAGTAGAATTGGGACAAAGGTTGTATGATCTTTCAACAGATTACAATTTTAGAACAAATAAGAACAGTGACCCTTATAGAAATGTAACATTTTATAAAATAAAATAAAATAAAATGAAACATTTTATTTTGGAGACAGGATCTTGCTCTGTTACTCAGGCTGGAGTGCAGTGGTGCGATCATGGCTCACTGCAGCATTGACCTCCCAGGCCCAAGCAATCCTCACACCTCAACCTCAGACTCAGTAGGTGCAGGCCGCCACACTCAGCTAATTTTTGGTTTTTGTTTTTTTGTAGATATGGGGATCTTCTTATGTTGCCCAGGCTGGTCTCTAACTCCTGGGCTCAAAGTGTTCCTCCCCCTGTCTCTGCCTTCCAAAGTGTTGGGATTACAGGCGTGAGCCACTGCACCCTGCCTGCCTTTTACATTTGAAGAGCTCAATAAATGTTAGTACTTACTCATTTATTTAAAAATAGGGGTCTTAGTGTGTACTGTGGTTCTTCAGCCTGTTTGAGAGATGTGTTTTCAGAATCTGATTAAATTTTTGAAATTTCTTCCCAAAATAAATCTTCGCCTCTCTTTCTCCCTTACTGTCTCAATCTCTCATGTATATGTGTGTGTGTGTGTGTGTGTGTGTGTATATATATATATATGTGTGTGTGTGTGTGTGTATGAATATATGTCTGTCGATACATGTCATTTGTCATATATCATCAACTACCTGAAACTCAGCATATAGATCCAAGTTAAGAACTGATCAGTTCCATTTTGCAAGTGCTTTTTTTCGTTTGTAAGTTGTAAGCATTGTCCTGTGCCATTTAATTTTCAGCAAAAACATGATTTTCTTATGGCTATATGAGATTCATATTTTTTTTTTTTTTTTTTTAATTTTTTTTTTGAGACAGAGTTTCGCTCTTGTTACCCAGGCTGGAGTGCAATGGCGCGATCTCGGCTCACCGCAGCCTCCGCCTCCTGGGTTCAGGCAATTCTCCTGCCTCAGCCTCCCGAGTAGCTGGGATTACAGGCACACACCACCATGCCCAGCTAATTTTTTGTATTTTTAGTAGAGACGGGGTTTCACCATGTTGACCAGGATGGTCTCGATCTCTTGACCTCGTGATCCACCCGCCTCAGCCACCCAAAGTGCTGGGATTACAGGCTTGAGCCACCGCGCCCGGCTGAGATTCATATTTATTTAACCAATCTCCTGTCGTTGGCAGTTAGGTTAATATCCTTATACCTGAATCTTTGTGTGTTTTCCAGATTTTTCTTAGACTAAGTCTAAGATTCTAAGTGCATAATCACTACATCAAACCTATGAATAGAAATCTTTGATACTTTCTGCCATATTCTGTGAAGAATTGTACCAGTGGATACTCCCACCCTCAGTCTTAGTTTCCTCTCATTGTCTTGACTCCCTGGTATTATCATATTGGGTTCAGTGCCTTGTCACATTCTTAAATTAGTTCTTACCATTGATGTTTTCTTGTCATTGTTAAACCCATCAAGATTACAATTTAGAAAGATTGTCTTACAGCAGTAGTTCTCAACAGTTCATAGTAGAATCGCTGGCATGGGGACATAGGGTGCTTTTAAACAGCCCTGGGTGTGGTGGCTCAACCTTGCAATCCCAGCACTTTGGGAGGCTGAGATGGGTGGATCACTTGAGATCAGGAGTTCAATGCCAGCCTGGCCAATATTCTGAAAACCTGTTTCTACTAAAATACAAAAATTAGCCAGGCGTGGTGGTGTGTGCCTGTAATCTCAGCTACATGGGAGGCTGAGGCAGGAGAATCTCTGAACCCAGGGGGCAGAGGTTGCAGAGAGCTAAGATTGCACCACTGTACTGCAGCCTGGGTGACAGAGTGAGGCCCATGTCTCAAAAAAAAAAAAAAAAAAAAAAAATCCCTGTGCCTAGGCCTATCCCTTAGACCAAGTAATCAGAATCTCTGGGGATACAGCCCAGGTATTGGTGTTTCAAGCTCCCCAGTATGTAACAAAAGTTGACAACCTCTGATTTAAAATTTTGGAGTTGTTTTTGTTTTTTCCATAAAACAAAGAATTAACTTATGAAATAATTTGAAGAATCAAGCTTAATTAATGTCTTATACTAAACTCAATTAGATTCTAATGTATATGAAAATGAGCTTTTTTTCCTATAAGGGAATTTCGTTTTTATTTGTTTTAGGTGATTTCAGAAAGTATGGATATACTCTTCAGAATCAGAGGAGGCCTTGATTTGGCTTTTCAGCTAGCTACTCCTGATGGTAAGTCTTCTGAAAAATTCTTTTTTACTAGAAAATTGATAGTGAAATATACTGAGATTGTCTCCATTTTGCAAATGAAACTGCTGAGTGAGAGATAGGATAAACTAAGATTATATAGTTAGTAAATGGGACTTAAACTTAGACACTGTGTCCCAGCACACCCACCAGCCCATGGAGTACCTCTGTGCAAATTAGAAAAAGATGTCCCCTTTCTTAAGAAACTTTACTCCCCTCTTCATTAATTGTCGCAATAAATGTAAATATCCACAGTGAGCACATTGTAACTGTGCATCGAGAATTGCACATTACAGTCTTGCGATTGTATATATAATCCTGAGTCTCCAGAACCCACTCTCTTAAATACCACCTTATAAGGGGATGAGTACAAAAACCCTACGGGAGAAAAATCAAAAGGGTTTATATGAAGCAGATTCTAGGATGTCTTGCTGTTGCTGACTTGAACTACAGCCACAAACTGAGATAGAGAACATCAGAGGAGGAATGGGATGAGTTGTGTTTGGATTTGTTTCATTTGGGATGCCAGTGGAAGGTCAAGTTTAGATTCCCAGCAGGCATTTGGCTGAGTCAGAAATTTAGAAGAGAGTGGTCAGAGTTGGAGCTAGAGAATGGAATGTCTCTGAAGAATGATAGTTAACACCTTCATAATAAATTAAATCACTTGTGAAAAGTACGATTGGTAGTGCCAGAAGCCACAGAGAGGTTCGGAAAGATAAGGAATTGAAAGTACTGTTTTGGTCTGTTTCCATTGCTGTAAAAAATACCTGAAACCGGGTAATTTATAAAGAAGAGGTTTATTCGGCTCACAGTTCTGCTGACTGTACAACAAGCATGGTGCCGGCATCTGCTTCTGGTGAGGCTCAGGAAGCTTTCAGTCATGGTGGAAGGCAGAGGAGGGGTCAGTGTATCACATGGCGAAAGCAGCAGCAAAAGAGAGGGGAGGAGGTGCCAGGCTGTTAAAGAACCAACCCTTTTACGAACTGACAAGAGTGAGAACTCACTCATTACTGTGACGATGGCACCCAGCCATTCATGAGGGCTTGTGATTCAAACACCTCCCACCAGGCCCCACTTCGAACATTGGGGATCACATTTCAACATGAAATTTGGAGGGGACAAACATCTAAACTGTATCAGATACCAGCATTCCTTGAAGGAGTTTGCCACTGACCATATCCTTTACTAGCCCCGTGGAAGGGAGGGAGAGGGTGCAGAATATTCTTTTCCACCCATCCCTTCAACTAATATGTTGTTCTCAGTTTTGGTGCGCATTTGAATCCCTACCACCAGACTACATCAAACTACATTTCTGAGACAGAGACCCAGGCATCAGTAAGCTTTCCAGGTAATTCTAGTGTGCCATTAAGACGAGAACCATTTTATAAGGACTAAATCAAACTCATTTTCAGGCCTACGTTGTTAGTAGAGTGAGTCGTTTCCTAAAATATTATTTTATGGGTAAAACCTTACATTTCACAACTTGATATAAACTGAAACACACTTTACTATAATCTTATTCCAAAGTAGAATTAATCCATTAATCAATAGATAACCCAGTAATCAAATGTAAACAAGGACTACAGATACTTTTTACCTAGTAATTAACATATTCAACTTTGTCTTCTGACTCGATTGTATTCCTCCTCTTTTCTCGAGCTCTGTCAACACTCAACAAAGGGACTCTGATTAATGAGAAAATATAGAGAATGGAGAAGCTTAACTTCAAAGGCTTCACAATTTTTTTAGGTCACTTTACCAAATAGTCCTTTAGGGATAAACAGAAGGTAATTTAAGAATGATGTTTGTCTTTTGTAGTACAGCTGAAAATCTTTAAATTCTGCTTTCTGAAACATATCAAGATATTTTAAAATCTGACTTCTGAGTAATCTCTTCTCTACAATAGCCCCAAAGTATTGATTGATCAAGATACCAATGTAGTCATTTAAAAAAAATTTTTAAAATACTCTTTTAGCAGAATCAGGTCACTGAATTAATATTTAACTACAAGGTTAAATAGGCTTAGGATTTAGGAGTATAAGGCTAAGACGAGTATTTAAAGATTGCCTTCTTTGGCTATATCTTCTTATATTGTTTCGACTTTGGAAACAGAGATGTTTCTAAATTGAATATATTGAATATTCAAAAATACTAAAATACTCTAATTTTTTGAATATTCAAACATATTTTAAGTCTATTCAAAGGAAATCCTTGAAAACAGAAACAAACTAAAGCAAATATCAGGTTGGCGACATAACCATACAAAGAAAAAAAAACAACTGTGACTTTAGAGCATGGGACTTTGATTGTATTATCGTAGTGGGATACAGTCCAAGGACAAAAAGGACTAAGAAATTAAAATGTCATTCAATAGTTTTATTCCTATAAGTAATACATTATTTTAATATTAATGAGAACTCTTATACATTACTGATGGGAATATAAAATGGTACAGCTGTGGTGGAAAACAGTCTGGCAGTCCTGAAAGTGTTAAATATAGAGTTGTTATACGATCCAGAAATTCTACTCTGGATGATCACCCAAGAGAATTGAAAACATCCACACCAAAACGTAACTGATGCACAAATGTTGATGGCAGCATATACATAACAGCCAAAATGTGGAAACAAATTTACATCAGTTTATGAATGGAAAACAAAATTGGTATATCCATACAATGGAATATTATGCTGCCATAAAAAGGAATGAAGTACTAATTCCTGCTACAGTACGTGTGAAACATTATGCCGACTGAAAGAAGCCAGACACAAAAAGCCATGTAATGTGTGATTCCACTTACGTGAAATGTCCACTATAGGCAAATCCATAAAGACAAAGGTAAGTTAATAATTGCCATGGGTAGTATGCTGAGATTCTTTTCATTTTGCAGATGGAACTGGGTGAGAGATAAAAATTGGAAGATAATGTAGTCAGTCAATGGATTGAATGGAATTTAAACTTGGATATTGTGTTCCAGCACCCCTGCCAGCCCATGGAGCACCATGTGCAAATTAGAAAAGATGTAGGGGGTAAATTAGAAAGTTGTCAATTAGAGAAATGTAGGGGGGATGAGAAATGACTGCTGGTAGGTACAGGGTTCTTTCTGGAGTGTTGAAAATGTTCTAGAATTAGTGATGTTTATAAAACCTTATGAATATACCAAAAGCCCTAAGTTATATGCTTTAAAATAATGAATGTTATGGTCTGGGAATTTTATCTCAATTTTTTAAGAAGATAGGCAAAAACATTTTAAATAATTATTGAATATGGGGAGTGAGTATTGAGTTTTACTATGCTCTACGTTTGTATATGTTTGGAACCATTCATGTTGAAAATTTGTTTTTCTTAACTTCTATTTATATTCTTTTAATTTAGAAATTTTTCTCAAGAAGGCACTGAAACATGTGTTGAGTGACCTGTCAACCAAGCTCTCTTCGAACGCTCTCGTGTTCAGAATTTGCCACAGTTCAGTGTATATATGGCCTAGCAGTGACATAAACACCATTCCTGGAGAACTGACTGATGTTTCTGCTTGTAAGAACATACTGCGCTTTATTCAGTGAGTATGTTTGAAGATTTCTACAGATGTTTTCAAAACCTCATTTCATATTATAAATGTCTTTGTGTATTAAAAATTTAGACTTGAGCCAGAAGAAGATATAAAACGAAAATTCATGAGAAAGAAAGACAAAAAGTTATCAGACATGGTAAGCAAATCGTCTATCTTCTCTACTGATAAAAATGTTAAATCTTTGAATTTGGAACTGAGTGCAATCTTAGAAATAATTTAACTTAACCCTCTTATTAGGTCAGAATATTGATGTCCAAAAAGATTAAATCACTTGCCAAAAGTTATTATGTAACTTTTACATATGTAAGCTTTTGTCTCATTATAATACATAATCTCAAAAGGGTTTTTTTTTTTAAATAATGCTTTCTTTGCTCCCACAAAATAAAACAGCCTAAGTACATTTACAAATTATTTAAAATAAAATGAGGCATTCTGAAGCGTGGCAGAGTGACACATTGTGCCACATATGACAACTACTAAATGATTTATTTTTCTTCACACTATTCTTGGTTCTGGTTTTTTTTCTGAGACAGAGTTTCACTCTTGTTGCCCAGGCTGGAGTGCCATGGCATGATCTTGGCTCACTGCAACTTCCGCCTCACAGGTTCAAGTGATTCTCCTGCCTCAGCCTCCTAGAAGCTGGGATTAGAGGTGCCTGTCACCACGCCCAGCTAATTTTTTATTTTTAGTAGAGATGGGGTTTCATGATGTTGGCCAGGAGGCTGAGATTAGAGGTGCCTGCCACCACGCCCAGGTAATTTTTGTGTTTTTAGTAGAGATGGGGTTTCACCATGTTGGCCAGGCTGCTTTCTAACTTCTGACCTCAGGTGATCCATCTTCCTCGGCCTCCCAAAGTGCTGGGATTTCAGGCATGAGCCACCACGCCCAGCCAGTTCTGTTGATTTTGAACCAGTATTACTGAGTGCCTGCCCCGTGTCATAAACTTTAAGAGATGTTGAAGATAAAAAATGGAGACACTTCTTCAAGGCAGGAAGTTGTGCAAAGTTAACATGACTGCATTGTTTATAGGCTAGTAGAGGGAGAATGCGTGGATGTAAGGCTGGAGAGGTGGGCATGGGCCTCTTTAGAAGAGTCCTAACTGAACCACTAGCTGTGGAACTAGAGAACAGGGATTGGATACGAGAAATTAGAGATACAGTGGATTTTGCTTGGAAACTAACTGGCATGATCAGTTTCTTGCTTGGGTAAACATGGAAGGTAAGGAGGACATGAGGGTGATTTGGGCCATGTTTAAGACCTCAGTAGGATGTACAGATGAGCTGTTAGATTTACAGATGTGGAATGCACAAAATAATTGTGGGCTGGAGAAAATTATTTGAAAATTGCCACTAGTTGGAGCTTGACATTTTGAGGGGTACAGGTGAGTTCTTTTTAAGACTGTTCCTCTTTTTGGGTTTGTTTTATGCTTCCTTCTTATTAGATTCAGGTCATACATTATTGGCAGGAATACCACAGAAGAGATGTGGTGTCCTCAGCACAGCATACTAAAGAGAAACAGTGATCAATCTGTTCCTATTATTGGTGAGGTTAACTTTAGTCACTTACTTAAGATGGTATCCACCAGTTCTCTCCATGGTAAAGGTATTATTTTTCCTTTATAATTAGTATATTTTGGGAAACTACTTTGATACTACATATATATCTTACTTTAATCCTTATCAGATTTTTACCTACCACTTTTAGCATCCATTGATAACTTTTGCCAGAATCCAATATTAATGTGGGGATTACAAAGTGGTGATTTTTCTAAATCTGTCATTTCCTTACGTATTATCTGCCATGGACTCTTACTTTATGCAGTAGTTTATGATCTGGTACTATCATTAGTTACTTTGATGCTTACATTTTCCAAGATTTGGCCGGTAGAAGCTTCTTCAAGCTCTCTCCAGTGCCCTTCTAACATTGTAATTTTGAGCACTTGCTATTTTTTTCCATCAGATGTTCCAGGTACAACATGTGATTTCCCTGTTGTAGCTGGAGAATCAGTCATTTTTCCATGAGCACATACTTTTACATATCTATACTATCCATGCACACACACAGAGCACATTCATTTTTATCTGTAAATCACATTGCTGCCCCTCACTCCACTTCAACCCTGCAGTGCTTGACCCTTTCCCAGTGAGAAGTCTGACTCCCGGGATCCTCAGTATTTTGCGAAATTTGTTGAGTGGAAATTTTGGAATGGTTGTTCCATACCCCTGTAAAAAATAAAACCTACAAAGTAGATAGAGTTTAATATTTGTTTATAGTTATTTATGTATTAGAGCAGGGGTATATAGTTATACTGTATGTTTAAAAGTTCCTTTGGTGTGTGGTTATTTTGTGTTCATTCGATTTTTTTAAAATTTTAAGTCAGTACAAAATTAGAGAGAATCATGTAATGAACCCCAGTGAACCTATGCCTGGATTTGACATTTATCCACACATGGCCAGCCTCATTTCATCTTTACTTCCTAATCTCTCTCCCCACATTACTTTGACACAGAAAATAATTTCTTTTTAAAATAATATTTGTGCTTTTAATCTTTTTACTGTAGTATAGCTTTATATACTATCCTTAAAAAGTCCTCTTCCTGGAAGGGTAGCGAGTTATCTGAGTTGACTGTTCATAGCCAGTTACAGATTGAACTCCTCGCCCTACTCTTTCACCCCCTTTCACTACTGTACTTGACTAGTCTTAATTTTTTTTCTTAATAAAAAAGACATTTTTAAAGACTTTTTACTTATTCTTTATATTTAGTGTTTAATGTACTACAAGTTGACTATTACTTTTTATCTATATAGCATCAAATAGTAAATATAGATCTTATGCTGGAAATGTCAACCTCCCTGGCAGCTGTAACACCCATCATTGAAAGGGAAAGTGGAGGACACCATTATGTTAATATGACTTTACCTGTCGATGCAGTTGTATCTGTTGCTCCAGAAGAAACATGGGGAAAGTAAGTCTTTTCATAGTACCACTGCCACATTTAAATGAGGGCACTTCCCCACAGTAATCAGAACCCATGTTTATATATCCTATAGGCATACCTAAGGTGTGCTTTTCTCCTTGTGTACTATTAACTGAAGAGCCATCTATTAATTAAATGGTTATTTGGAGGAAGTAGGGTAGCATGCTAAAACCTGGAGGGTTGGCTGGGCGCAGTGGCTCACGCCTGTAGTCCCAGCACTTTGGGAGGACAGGGCGGGTGGATCACGAGGTCAAGAGATCAAGACCATCCTGGCCAATATGGTGAAACCCCATCTCTACCAAAAATACAAAAATTAGCAGGGCGTGGTGGCACGCACCTAGAGTCCCAGCTACTCAGGAGGCTGAGGCAGGAGAATCGCTTGAACCCAGGAGGCTGAGGTTGCAGTGAGCCAAGATTGCGCCACTGCACTCCAGCCTGGCCACAGAGCAAGACTCCATTCTCAAAAAAAAAAAAAAACAAAACTGGAGGATTTCCCTTTATCCACAAAGAGCAAATGCACAGTTTCTTTTATAATGCATAATTCAGACTTCCTTTAAAAAACCTGGTCCAATCAAGTTTTTTACTGTATTAAGGATATATTAGCTCTGCACTTTTCTTTATTGTAGACACTGTAACTTTTGTTAATACACTTACATATTTCCCCCCACAGAGTTCGTAAACTTCTAGTTGATGCAATTCATAATCAACTAACTGATATGGAAAAATGCATTTTGAAATATATGAAAGGAACATCTATTGTGGTCCCTGAACCACTGCACTTTTTATTACCAGGGAGAAAAAATCTTGTAACAATATCATATCCTTCAGGAATACCAGATGGTCAGCTGCAGGCTTACAGAAAGGTAAAACCAGTTCATTTATTCTTAGAAAAAACAATAAGAACTGTCATTCATTTTGTGTTTAATTTTTTATTTCCAGTAAATGCAAGTTATTTTGTGATTTAACTTAAAAGTGTGGAAGTTATTAGACTATTAATTTTACATATTATTTAATTTCTGTTCTCATGAAACTTTATTAATGCAAAAATGTTGAACCTGTATATAACATTTTAATTTTAAATATTCAGTGTGGTTCATATATTCTGTGAAATTTTAATATTTCATATAGAAATGAAAAGGTGCTTACCTGCCTAAAGTAGCTGGTATTAACACATTTCTATAACTTCCACATTTGTAAAAGAGGCAAGATTACAGTTAGGGAAGGAAAATGATAACTTTACTAATTCTGGGTAGGATTTATGTTAATAATACTTCACAAGTAAGGTTATTTGGGATTTATTAGAGGAATTTTGGAGTAAACATGACCAGCATTCAAAGTACCGAGATTTATTGGCAAAATGACTGGTTTTGGTTGGAGTACATCTTTTTGATATGTGGACTTGCTTAGAACCCATCACAGTAGACCATGGAGCATCTTCCTAACCTCTGTCCTTAGGAAGAGATATATTATAATATAATACCCTGACCCTCTGCACATGGAGGTGACCTGATTTGTAGAAGCAATAGCTATAGTAGCTGATCTATTCAAACCACTGGAATACACAGAAGATAGGATAAAGAACATGTCAGACTTTTTAAAGTGACTATTAAATGTTTTCATTCCATTGAGAAAATACCACATTTTAAACATATATGTGTATTTATTTTCATGCCATGTTGGTTGGTTTTATATCACTAACTTCTACTCTGTAATCACTACCGCTTAAAATATAAAATATTTATAAAGCACCCTAGCCATGATTTTTTCTAAATACTTTGATATGATTATTGTTAATTATAATTTACTCATTTACAAGGCTATTTCAAAATCAGTCTTTAGCCTGGGTATATTTTAACAGACTATGTTATAATAAATAATTATTTTAAAATTATCTCAGTTCACTTACTCTAACAATTTATATTCATTTTTCTCTTCATTTATTTTCATCCTTCAAATGAAAATAAATCTTTCTTGGTTTTGGTTCAGTTTTCACCATCTTTGATGCTAGTGAATTAAATAATAAGTGTTTGGAAACTTTTATAACCCATATATGATTTTCTGTGTTTTATAACTTCTTTATTTATTGACTAGAAATCTAAATCACCAGCACTTTTTCTATTAATTCCAATTTCTTTTAGGAGTTACATGATCTCTTCAATCTGCCTCATGACAGACCCTATTTCAAAAGGTCTAATGCCTATCACTTTCCTGATGAGCCATACAAAGATGGTTACATTAGAAATCCACATACTTATCTTAACCCACCTAACATGGAGACTGGCATGGTGAGTTTAATTATTTATGGGAGTCACTTGACAGTTATGTTATTACTTGCTTTTTGTTGGTAACCGGTAGAAGACTTGATTGATTATACATGTCATCCCTAAAACATGATTTATCACCCATCTCTGTTAACAGACATTGCTTAAGACAGCAGTAATTAACAGTGGTCTAAAAAAGTTAATAATAGGTAGTATATACCACATTTCTCTTACTAAAATTCTCTTATTTCTTCAAAGGCTTGTCCCATTTTTTTATTCTGAACCTGAGAAATCATGCTAATTAAGGGCATAGTCTACTCAAACCACACTGTAGGATAAGTCTTTTTTTTTTTTTTTTTTTGAGACAGAGTCTCATTTTGTTGCCCAGGCTGGAGAGCAATGGCATAATCTCAGCTTCCTGAGTATCTGGGGTTGCAGGCAGCTGCCATCACACCTGATTAATTTTTGTATTTTTAGTAGAGACAGGGTTTCACCATGTTGGCCAGGCTGGTTTTGAACTCCTGACCTCAAGTGATCCACCCATGTAGGCCTCCCAAGGTGCTGGGATTACAGGCGTGAGCCACTGTGCCAGACCACTGTAGGATAAGTCTAATGAGGAACTAGACTTATTTTCTATGTAGCATATACCTGGTTGCCAAGGATAGATCTTTACTAAAGGTAGCTCAAATAAGAATGAATTGGTGGAGGGTGGTGGAAGGGTTACCTTAAGGATACATGGAGGCCAGTGAGAAAGGACCTTATAGGCATCCAAGATTAGGAATGCCAGTACAGCTGGGCCTCCTAGAAACAGCAGCCCTGTGACTGGCAGCTGTCTTCAGTCTCTCTCCAGGACCACGTGGAGACCTTGGTGGCATTTCTGTTGCTTTCTGTGTATGCTTGTGATACTCAGTGGCCTGTTCTTAACTTTGACTCTGTTTTCTCAGCCTCATACCCTTTATGTCTTCACTGTTTCAGCTTGTGTGTCACTTTTTCCTGTTCTTTCTTAGCTGCTCAGCATATGCTTCATTCTAACTGCATTTCCTGTTTCCGGCTACTTGGCTAACTCTGCACCTCTCAATTCAGATTCCCAAGAGAAAGAAAATGTGGCCATCATATCGTGGCATTTATTAATACCTTCTGAGCATCCAGGAGACCTGTGAGGAAATAATTAAGAGTGAATATATGTTACAATACCTACCCTAGAGAGTTAGGGGCCCACTTTTTATCTTAGTCATTAGAGTGTACTCAGGGCAGCAGATCCATCTGCAAAAGCTGTGGGCCAACCAGCTTCCATAGAAAGTTCCTTGCAAAAAGGCTAGTTCCTAAGAAGAACTTGGACAACAGAAGGTGTTGAATGAATACTGACTGATTTTTGGCAATAAAATAGGTTCATTATATATGTATTACAAAGACATAAGAAAAATATATGCTTTACGTATTTATCATGTAATATTTGATATGTACATATAATGCACAGTGGGAAAGTGAATACCAGGGACCCCTACCTAATTTAAGAAGCAAAACTTTACCAGTCTGACTGTGCTCTTTCCTTATCCACTCTCCTGCCTCTCCGGCACAGTTCCAGGAGGAACTATTAGGGGTTTTGTGTTCATCATTTCCTTCCTTTTTAAAAAATAGCTTCACTATATATGCTACATATTAATCTCTGCAATGTCGCTTTTAATATTGCATATTTTTAACTTTTATAAAAATGGTATCATTCTGTTCATAGTCTCTGCCACTTGCTTTTCCACTCAATGTTACGTATCAAAGATTCATCTCTGGTATTTTGTTTAAGTTCAGTCATCTTTCTGATTGTTTTCCAAGGTTTTTGCTGTTTAGACAATGAACATTCCTGTACCTCTCAATATATATGTGCAAGTTGTTAACACTTAGCTATATCTGCTTCATTTCTCCCTCTTTTTTTTTCCTTCTGAACCATTTCAAGGAAAGTTATATTATTTACCCTTGAATACTTTAGTACAAATCTTTCAACAATATAGATTTGCATGAATGAGACAAACTCAGTATGGTTATGATTCATTATTTTTTATTCCACCCCAGATTCCATTTGCTAATATTTTATGATTTTTGCATCTATGTTTGTGAATGATACTGGCTTATAATTTTCTTCTCTCGTACTGTTCTTATTTTTCTTTTTTCTTTTTTTGATGGAGTCTCACTCTTGATGCCCAGGCTGGAGCGCAATGGCACGACCTCGGCTCACTACAACCTCTGCCTCTTGGGTTCAAGTGATTCTGCCACAGCCTCTCGAGTAGCTGGGATTACAGGCACCCACCACCACACCTGGCTAATTTTTTGTATTTTTAGTAGAGATGGGGTTTCATGTTGGCCAGGCTGGTCTCGAACTCCTGACATCAGGTGATCCACCCACCTCCCAAAGTGCTGGAATTAACAGACATTTGCCACCACGCCCGCCATTATTTTACTTTTTTATTAGCGATATACTGGCTTGTTGAATGAGTTGGCTTAACGTTCCCTCTTTTTTAGTTTTCTAGAGAATTTTTTTTTTTTTGAGACAAAGTTTCACTCTTGTTGCCCAAGCTAGAATGCAATGGCGTGAAGTTTTTTTCTTGGTGGTAGTGGTGTATTTTGAGACAGAGCTTTGCTCTTGTTGCCCAGGCTGGACTGCCAGTGGCGTGATCTTGGCTCACTGCAAACTCCGCCTCCTGACTTCAGATGATCTACCCACCTTGGGCTCCAAAGTATTGGGATTACAGGCATGAGCCACTGTGCCTGACCAATTTTCTTTCTAACGTAAGGTTTTAAATGTCAAGCAAAGCACTGCTTTTAGTGTATCTTACAGGGTTAATTTGAAGGAGTTTAGTTTTGTTCACTTCTAAATATTTTTATATTTTCCTATTATGGTTTTTCTTTTGTCTATGTATTATTTAGAAGTATTCGTTGTGTCCAAATATGTCAGAATATATTTATTTACTTTTTTCTTTTTTTTATTTTAACTGGTTTCTGACTCTTGCCTCCTAATCAGAAAGAATTCTAAGTGAAACTAACTCTGAAATTTATTCAAACTTGTATTTGTTCCCTAAAAAAAAAAAATCTCATACTTGATGGCTTTAAACTACAGAAATATATTGTCTCAGTTCTGGAGGTCCGAAAGCGGTATCACCCAGCTGACATCACAGTGTCAATAGGGCCACCTTCCCCCCATCGGCTCTTGGGGACAGTCCATTCCCTAATGCCTGCCAGCATCCTTTGGGTTGTGGCCCCATCATTCCGATCGCTGCCTCCTTCTCCTCCTACGCCCCTCTCTTTTAAGGATATATGTGATTGTATTTAGGGCCCACTAGGATCCAGGATAATCTCCCCATCTTAAAATCCTTAACTTAATCATATCTATTAATACTTTTTCTTTTTTCTTTTACTATTTGGCATAGAGGGTGCATTCACAAGTTCTGGGGATTAAGATATATATACCTTTGGGAGTCACTTTTCAGCCTACCACAATGGTCAAGTTATAAATTTTTCTACCTGTGCTTGGGCAGAATATACATTCTCTAATTGTTGGGTAAGGGTTCTATCTTTGCCCCTGTCTCTTCTCACCTAATTTTTAAAACATAATATCAGTTGGGAGCCAGGTGTGGTGGTGTGTGCCTGTAATCCCAGACTACTCAGGAAGCTGAGGCAGGAGGATCACGTGAGCCCAGAAGTTCAAGACCAACCTGAGCAACATAGGGAGGAGACCCAATCTCAAAAATACAGAAAGCAAAACCCAGATTTTCTTAAAAAAAAAAAAAAAAAAAAGACATATGCATTCTTAGCATTATAAGTAAGAATTTATATTAATAATTTATTTATCTTAATTTTTGACCTTAGAGTCATCAAATAACATACCTGGGCTGTAATCATGGCAGGTTTATAAATTTTCACAGACATTCTTCCTGTGTCCCATGACATGGACCCTTCATTTGTTTGTTCATTCCTTTATTCCTTCCTTCATTCCTTCAGCATTTATTATTCAACAACATTTACATCAGCTGTGTGCAGGCGTGTTGTAGAAGCTTGGGCCCAAAAGTGAATAAGACACAGTGCGTGTGCTCACTGAGCTATTACTGTAGGCAGGCAGATATTTTTTAAATGATAAGTAATGTGTCGAGTAATGATAAGCTTTGTAAAAACAAAGAGGACAGAGATGACGGGTGAGGTGAGGGTGGGGTGCTGAGAGAATGCGTGGGCCGTTTGTAGACTGGGTGGTCAGGGAAGACCTCTGACATCTCAGTGGAGACCTGAGTGAAGTGAGAGTGCAAGCTGAACACTTAATTTGGAAAAAAAGAGTTCCAGGCCAAGAGATCTGTGAGGCTCTGAGGTCGTACTGTCCCTGGAATGTGGGAATCAAAAGTAGAGGGAGCAATAGGGAAAAGTTTAGGGGACGAAGTTGGACAGGCCAGACGGCAGGTCCTGCTGGGCCCCTCGGTAAGGGCTTCGAACCTCAAGTAAAAAGCCAGGAAGGTATGTTAAACCATAGATCTGTGAAGGCATTTTTATAAGGAATTAAAGTAACAGTCTAAGAACATTAAAACGTAATTCAGGAGTATATACAGAATATGTACTTCTATCCTAAGTTAATATTTCACTGTGTTTCTTCTCTGTATATAGGTTTGTGTGGTCCAGGGCATATATGGTTATCATCATTATATGCAGGACCGGATAGATGACAATGGCTGGGGCTGTGCTTACCGATCTCTGCAGACCATCTGCTCTTGGTTCAAACATCAGGGATACACAGAGAGGTCCATTCCAACACACAGAGAAATCCAGCAGGTACAGAACACACCACTTTAAATTATAATCGACTGTACATTTCATTAGCCTTTAATATTTCATTGATGCTTTTGTTACCTCATGGTGCAGACTTACTACTGTTTTGAAGAAAAAAATATTCTTTTACTGGTAATCAGGAAAAATGCCCTAAATATAGTTTTTAATAGCTGTCTTGTGTATGGATTTTTTTATATTTTTAAACACGTGAAGGCTCTGGTTGATGCCGGCGACAAACCAGCAACATTTGTCGGATCACGGCAATGGATTGGATCTATTGAGGTGCAGCTGGTACTAAACCAATTGATTGGTGTCACTTCAAAAATACTGTTTGTCAGGTAAGGACACTTTAGAAATTAGATAAATCATTTCAAAGTGACAGTCTGTCATTTTAATTAAAATAATAGAAAAATGGTGTCTTCCCTTATTATTTACATTCCTTTCCCTTCTCCCTTATTACCTCATTGCTTTTAAATCTCATTTTTTTAACCTTAATTTTTTTTCAATATTTTTTTTGGAAGGCTCTGAGTTTATGAATAAACTTTGTGATGTAATGTATACTTGCACTATCTAGGCCTAATTTTAGCCTAGAAGAGGAAACCTTAAAAATATATTAATGTTGAGTAAAGTCATAAAAATTCTATTAACAGGCCGGGCGCGGTGGCTCAAGCCTGTAATCCCAGCACTTTGGGAGGCCGAGGCAGGTGGATCACGAGGTCAAGAGATCGAGACCATCCTGGTCAACATGGTGAAACCCCGTCTCTACTAAAAATACAAAAAATTAGCTGGGCATGGTGGCACGTGCCTGTAATCCCAGCTACTCAGGAGGCTGAGGCAGGAGAATTGCCTGAACCCAGGAGGCGGAGGTTGCGGTGAGCCAAGATCGCGCCATTGCACTCCAGCCTGGGTAACATGAGTGAAACTCCGTCTCAAAAAAAAAAAAAAATTCTATTAACAGTTTCTTTGTGCTCCAGTCTTTTAAAAAGTTTGAGTTAAATGTTGATCTATGACTGACCTTTTTGTTTACCTCCTGCTCTTTTTCTTCCTAAGATGTTAATAATCCAGTAATGTGTCCAAATAATGTATTCATTTTATCTTGTCCAATGTATCTTAACCATAATTCTAATATTAAAATGAGAAACTATAAATAAATTAAACATTTTCTATGACCATAACTAGCTTACTCCTGATTGTATGAGCTTGTTTTAAAATACATTTTCTTAAAAGAAAAGAAAGAAAACCCCCAAAAAACAAATAAAATGCATTTCCTATTGTTAATTATAGGAACATTGTCCTCATTGTATCAGTACCCAGTGGTTATGGAAATCATTGGTAAAAAATGACAGACTGGCCGGGCACGGTGGTTCACACCTGTAATCCCAGCACTTTGGGAGGCCCCAGGCGGGTGGATCACCTGAGGTCAGGCATTCCAGACCAGCCTGGCCAACAGAGTGAAACCCCGTCTCTACTAAAAATACAAAAATTAGTCAGGCAGGTGTGGTGGCACATGTCTGTAATCCCAGCTACTCAGGAGACTGAGGCAGGAGAATCGCATGAAGAGGCAGAGGTTTCATTGTGCTGAGATTGCGCCTCTGCACTCCAGCCTGGGTGATACAGGGTGACTCCATCCGGGGGAAAAAAAAAAGTGACAGCCTAGGTAGTGAAGAACTTTTTTTTAAAGTGACAGTTTTGGTAATTAAAACATTATACATTCCTCATTAAGCAAGAGCTAAGGTTTAGCACCACCTGGCACCTCCCACCCCAAAAATACCTCCCTTCATCAGCCCATCTTTCTCAAAAGTAAAAATTCTGATATTCCCTAAAAAAATAGTATGTTGCACTTGAAAACACTTTACAGGTTTCACAGTGATTTTACAGACATATATTTTAGTCCTAGACTCTCCTCCGTTTTGTAGACAGGTCAGATATTTTGGGTCCCTATTTAAAGATGAAGAAGTACAGACTAAGAAGTCTACCAGGAAGAAGACAAGAACCCAGGACTTAACACTTATTCTTCTGATTAAGTCCATCCATAAGAACTCCCTGAGCCTCAAGGTGATGTTTCAACTTAATGTTAAAAACCCAGTGCCTCATGCCTGTAATCCCAGCACTTTGGGAGGCTGAGGTGGGTGGATCACGAGATCAGGAGATCAAGACCATCCTGGCAAACATGGTGAAACCCTGTCTCTACTAAAAATACAAAAAGAGCAAGACTCCGTCTCAAAAAAAACCCAAAAAACCCAGGACCTCCTTTATGCAGTTCAAGAAGCAGAAGATCAAGGTCTTCTATCTTCTTTCCTAGCACACATAGTGGCCTTAAGTATTTCGAATTTATGTTGCCTTAAATTGTAAGGTTTAATTGCTCTCTCAGTTCCCTACCACTTAATTTTATTTGCAGTTACATATTTTTTTCAATAACAACCCAGAAAAGAAAAGAATTTTTTGTCTCCTAGCTCATTATTTGACCTTAGTGTTGGAAGTGGTTCAACTGATAGACAATGGTTTCTTTCTAGCCAAGGTTCAGAAATGGCCTCTCAAGGACGGGGACTGGCTAATCATTTCCAAAGCGAAGGAACTCCAGTTATGATCGGTAAAGTGTTTCAGACATCTTTTTGTATGTAAAACTTATAAATATTTAATGTTGCATAAAATCAGTCATTTTAAACATTTTGAAATTCACTTTTACACCATATGTATGGATCTCTGGATATTGAAAAAAATGTCCAAGGTGGCTTAAAGGTTACAAAAAAGATTATAATAACCAGAAGAAGTAAAGGCTGAGAAATGGTAGCTATGTTCAAACAATTAAAGAGCTGAGAGCAGTAGTAAAAAGAGGAGGTGGTCCAGCTGAGCTTCATAAGTCATGACTCTGTCATGACTCTGTCACTAACGCTGGCTTTGTGACATTTTGCCAATTACTTACCTCTCTGGATTTTATTTGTAAAATAAGATTGAATTAGTTGATCTAAAGATGCATAATTCTGTGAAGAACAAGACCTGTCCTGTGATGACAGAAGGCACACTGAGACTAGTGTGTAAGAAACGGAGGCAGAAGTCAGGTGCAGTGGCTCACACCTGTAATCCTAGCACTTTGGGAGGCCAAGGCAGGAGGATAGCTTGCGTCCAGGAATTCGAGACCGGCCTGGGCAACATGGCAAGACCTCATCTCTTCCAAAAAATATATATATATAAAAATTAGCCAGCATGGTGGCATAAGCCTGTAGTGCCAGCTGCTCAGGAGACGGAGGGGGGAGGATTGCTTGAGCCCAGGAAGTAGAGGCTGCAGTGAGCCAAGATCATTCCACTGCTCTCCAGCCTAGGTGACAAAAGTGAGACTCTGTCTCAAAAAAAAAAGGAAATGGAGGCTGATGTCTACAAAATATCAGAAAGAACTTAATGAGTAGGTCAGGGCCCAGTAGCTCACACCTGTAATCCCAGCATTTTAGGGGGCTGAGGCAGGTGGATCACTAGAGGCCAAGAGTTCAAGACCAGCCTGGCCAACATGGCAAAACCCTGTCTCTACTAATAATAGAAAAATTAGGCAGGTATGGTGGCACACACTGTAATCCCAGCTACTTGGGTGGCTGAAGCAGGAGAATCGCTTGAGCCTGGAGGTGAAGGTCGCAGTGAGCCGAGATCGCCCATTCTACTCCAGCCTGGGTGACAGTGCAAGACTCTGTCTCAAAGAAAAAAAAAAAGAGTGGAGTGCTGTATCACTGGAGGTACTCAGGCAGCAGGACCATCTGCTGAGAGACGCACCACAGCAGTGATTGTTGCTCTATTCGGAAAAGTTTATGGCCCTTTCTAAATCCAATTTAGGTAACTATATGGATATGACGGTGGAATATAAATTTTATGTGATTATAGATATGACTGAATCCTCTATGTGTTAACAAAGCTGTCATTGTATCCTTTCAGAGTATATCTGACATTGTGGTCCATTTAATGCTATTTTAAATCAGTTAATAGACAAAGTAATCTGTCTTTTTCAATTGAACAGGCATTTGACATTTGTTGATACCTTATTTGTATTTCCTGTTTCTTCTATAGGGGGAGGAGTTTTGGCCCACACAATACTAGGAGTTGCATGGAATGAGATTACAGGGCAGATAAAGTTTCTGATTCTAGATCCACATTATACAGGTGCTGAAGACCTGCAAGTTATTTTGGAAAAGGTAAGTATCCATTTAACACAAATTGAGACATGCGGCAGAGAACCTAGAAAGGAAGGATGGCAAACTGGCTGGTAACAGAAAGACCGCAAGCCGAGGGCAGTGAGCCTCCCTGAGGAGGCTTTCTGAGGCCGTGGTTAGTAGGCCTCTGTATAGGGAAGGTGCAGGAACAATGCACATTGCAAAAGACAAAATTTAGGTTAGATTTTTTAGAAACTTTCTCAGTTATTAAACTTAATAGTAGGACAAACACTCATACATATATTCCTTTGGAGATTTTAGAGCTTTCATAAACAAATGTATCAAAGTTTATCAGTGTCTTAAAATAGAATGAGTGGACTACATAAACTTCTGAATTTTAGAATGAACCAAAAGATAGCTAAGCAGTATGCTAGACATTATGGAGGCTTGACTAATTTTATTTACATATAACCTGATCTCATTCTATAAAGTGTTTGAAGTTATACATATTTGAGAGTATTTGTTCTTACTTACAATAGCAGGTAAAGGAGGTAAAAATTGTTAATTCATAGTTAACTGATTCTCACGTATGGAAACTCAGTACCAAGTCTTTTGGAGAAAGTATTGTAAAACATAATGACCTGTAATTTTAAGTAACATTTATATTCTTGGCCAAATACATTGAAATTGCAGAAAATACATACAATACAAAATGTTTTAATATGTTAAAGAGTTTTTGGCAGGGCACGGTGGCTCACACCTGTAATCCCAGCACTTTGGGAGGCCAAGGCGGGTGGATCACCTTAGATCAAGAGTTTGAGACCAGCCTGGTCAACATGGTGAAACCCCATCTCTACTAAAAAATACAAAAATTAGCTGGGCATGGTGGCGGGCGCCCGTAATCCCAGCTGTTCAGGAGGCTGAGGTAGTAGAATTGCTTGAACCCAGGAGGTGGAGGTTGCAGTGAGCCCAGATCACGCCATTGCACTCCAGCCTGGGTAACAAGGGCAAAACTTCATCTCAAAAAAAAAAAAAGTTTTTAATGTGTGTAGTCCAATTCTCTTATATCCTCAGTTTACTAAAGTCTCTTGTTTACAATAAGGGTAAAGGCTAACAGGATAGAAATGTGTTGTTACAGTTTTAAGTGTTTTCTGTTTCCTTGCTTTCCTCTTTTACAACATTTGGAATTTGAAGTCTGTAAAAGGTTTTTGACTGGTACACGTATCTCACTGAATATAGTAGCGATATTCTTGTTCTGTAGCAAGGTGTTCATTCATTCAGTACTTATTAAGTACCTAATCAATGCCAGGCACTGTCCCAAGCACTAGCGGTATTAGAAGAGGTTTTTAGGGAGCTAAACACTTTTAGTGTAGGACAGAGAAGGATTCCAAAAAGAACTCTCAAGAAAAAAAATGCCATCTCGGGCGGGTTTACGCGGCCAGTGCTATAGTGGCACCCTGTAGAGGCAGTGGAAAGCCGCGCTCCAGGTAGATGAACGTGTCCAGGGCTAGGTAGAGAGGTGAGGCTGGAAGGACACGCCAAGCTCAGTCAAAAAGGATGGTCTTTGTGAGCAGACATTTAGATTTTTTTTAAAGGCAGGGAGAAGTCTTAATTATTTTTATCACAAAATTTCTCTTTTCTGGTTGGCTCAAGGGGCCCTGCACTAGACGGGATTATCTAGATAAGGTTTCAGAACAATTAGAGTAAGGGGTTGTCCCTGATTCCTTTCTCTGAGAATTGCAATCTCCATCTTTGCTAGTTCTGTTTCTATAGAACTTTGCAATAGCAGAAACCTCCTTGCTCTATTTGCATACACAAGAAACTATGAAGCCAAGGTCCTGCCATTAGAACTACTGATTCACTTGACTCCAAGAACCCAGGAGGCGAGAGGAGAGTCCATCTCTGCCTGACCTCTTTACTCTCCCATGGTGCTTTCCTGTTTGAAGTTCCCAGGCTGGTCATCTCACAGGAAAGAAGCATGTGCCAAGCACTCTCTCTCCCTATACAGTCCCATTCTGACACTCTCTCTACCCAATTCTCCTTTAAAAAGTTTAGATCTGGTTACCTGGTCAAGGCCTTCATGTGTAAAAGGATCAAAAAATGGTTAAAGGCTGGGTGTGGTGGCTCACGTCTGTAATCCCAGCACTTTGGGAGGCCGAGGTGGGTGGATCACAAAGTCTGGAGATTGAGACCATCCTGGCCAACATGGTAAAACGCTGTCTCTAGTAAAAGTACAAAAAATTAGCCGAGCATGGTAGTGTGCACCTGTAGTCCCAGCTACTTGGGAAGGTGAGGCAGGAGAATCGCTTGAACTTGGGGGGCAGATGTTGCAGTGAGCCGAGATCGCACCACTGCACTCCAGCCTGGGCAACAGAGCAAGACTCCATCTCAAAAAAAAAAAAAAAAAAAAAAAAAAAAAAAAAAAAAAAGTGAAAACAGAGATAGTATGAGTCTTTTTTGTATTTGTCTATTAAGAAAACAGATTTTAGGACATTCAATTAATAGAGTTTTGCTGAAAGAGATGATAAACAGAATATAGGTTACCTAGGGAGAATGGGAGGTAGGCCTGGGGGAGGATTTTTTACTTTTATCTTTTTTTTTTTTTTTAACAACATGTATCTTATTTAGGAAGGAGTCAGGCCACTGCTTGTCACTCACTCAGTGGTATTTTCAGAATCCTCAGCTAGCTTCCTCGCAAGGATTTCTTAAAGCATTTCATTTGCGACTCATATAATACAGACACAGTTACTGATTTTTTCTTCAGGTTTTCTTTAATAAGTCAGTGGCCCTAGAAGAAATCTGAGAACATTTCATACCCTAAATGCGATTTTGTTTGAAAGTAATTTTTTCTGTTGGCGAAAAGGATGAATACTGACATGAAGCATAGAAACTACAACTGAGTAATACTTGGGATTTGAAAATGAAAGGGCACCGAGTGCCAAGCATGGGGCAAGCTGAGGTTTCTCACTACCGTATTTCAGTCCTGAGATGCCACTGAATGCTGCTGTACTCCTTTATGGACGATGAAGACAATCAGGCTGGCAGTTCACTTATCACATGCTATCAATTGCAAGTGGTAAAACTATTCATCTCAGATCAGTAAAGTGTGGTATCTGGAATAACAGTTACGATAAGTAAATTTTTCTTTTTTAATGATTTTTATGATGAATTATTTAGAATTAAAATAATATAGACTTAAAAGTTCAAAAATCGGCCGGGCGTGGTGGCTCACACCGGTAATCCCAGAACTTTGGGAGGCCGATGTGGGCAGATCACGAGGTCAAGAGATGGAGACCATCCTGGCCAACATGGTGAAACCCCGTCTCTACTAAAAATACACAAAATTAGCTGGGCATGGTGGCGCATGCCTGTAATCCCAGCTACTCAGGAGGCTGAGGCAGGAGAATTGCCTGAACCCAGGAGGCGGAGGTTGCGGTGAGCCGAGATCGTGCCATTGCACTCCAGCCTGGGTAACAAGAGTGAAACTCCGTCTCAAAAAAAAAAAAAAAAAGTTCAAAAATCTACCTCAAAGGGACCCAGATAAGTTACTTTTCTATGCCTAGTAGGAATTCAAATCCTTGAATGATATAAAGGCATTTAGAGTTTCTGCCAAGGTCCTGCTGACAGAGTGTGATGTCATGATTTCCATCACATAATCTTGCAACTTTATAAAAGGCTTTCCTTTCCCTTCTCCCCTATCCAGGGCTGGTGCGGATGGAAGGGCCCAGACTTTTGGAACAAGGATGCATACTATAACTTATGTCTTCCTCAGCGACCAAATATGATTTAAAATATATGATTGAAGACTGCAGTAGAGTGGTAGAGTGGTATTATAAATTGGTGGATAAAGAATCAGTTTAATTTCACATTAAATTCTGGTTTTAGTTTGACGGTTTAAACTATGACCTTTTTCAAAGGTTGTAAATACTGCACAGAGAATGTATTTTTCAGACATCCCTTTAATGACTTAAAAGACAAAGCATACACAACCAGCATATTATAGGCATGTAAATACATGTGTTCTTAAATGGATCTTCACTTGGAAGAAAGATTTCCTCCTTCTCAGAAGGCGTTTAGACACATATGGTAAGCAAAAAGCTGGAGCTCATACGTCTGCATGAAATGAAGGCGTTTCTTCAGACATCTTCATAACCCACGTGACATCTGTTTTTAAAAAACGTATTAACATTAAAAACTTTTTTTAAAAAAAGAGTTTTATCCCCAAACTTCTACCACGCAGGCACATTTTTGGTCTCCAGACTCTATAAGTACAACCAGTATTACAATGTCACTAGAATAATAAATGCTATGCACGCAAGAGATCACGGAGGAACAGAGCGGCAGCTCGGAGTCACTTACCAACACTTCCTCTTCCCACTGATATTTTCCACACTTCCAAAACTTCGTTTCTGTCTGAGCACAGGAGCACAGTCATCCCTGTCAGAGTGTTCACTTGATTTTTTTGTCTGCGTACATTTAATTGTTGTAAGAAACTTGGCACATTCTGGAAATCCACATGACCAAGCAAGATCTTCAGCTGTTTGCCCATCCTTGTTACATAAACTGAAAATATGATAAAAATTGAGTTAAATGAAAAACTGAACTTCTAAAGTGTTTTTTAGTATCTTACAAAGGAATTTTGGGCTCATACAAATGTTGGCTGCAGAACAGAAGAGGTAAAGAACGCATAGGGAAAGTGCATTTTTGGTTATTTTGTATTCTCAGCAGCTAACAGAATCCAGCATAGAGCGGGCATTCCATTTTTGAATGAAGAATTATTTGCTGTTTAATACAGTGGATGAGTACCCAAAGATAGTCAATGAGAACTATAGAATTGGTTTTCCTAAGCCGATTGAAGTAGAATACCGTCTAATGAACAGAATTGCAACTCTGACTGCTCAGGATCTTTCTACTTACTCAAACTGAGTATTATTAGACAGCACCAACAGCCTAAGTTAACATTTAAATGACAACACTAAATTGTCAATTAGGCAAGCATTATTTTTGGAAGCACATGTAACTATGCTTCAGGAGTCTGATTATTTAATCCAAGAAAACATAAAATGTGAAGCCATGATGTCGTACTCACTTGATTTGGGCATCACTGGCCACAAGCAGGCTAAGGCACTCCAGGCTTCCAACCTTTGCTGCCTTGTGTAGTGGAGCTTCTCCTAAAACATCCTTAAGGTAAGACAGTGCATTTTAGAGTCTCCCAAAAATACTTTCTTATGGAAGTTGGTGAGTGACATCTAATATTAGCTATTTAAGGAAGCTACTTAGAACTGCATTGTATGGACTGAAATTTTAATTCAAGCTTTTTATTTTTGTTTTTTTCTTCTGTAAGCTGTAAAAGCTTTTTATTTTTTGATACGTTCTGTTTGCTTTTTCATACAGTTTTCATTAATAAAAATATGTGTGGCCAGGTGCCGTGGCTCACGCCTGTAATCCCAGCACTTCGGGAGGTGGGCAGATCACCTAAGGTTAAGAGTTTGAGACCACCCTGGCCAACATGGTGAAACCACATATCTACTAAAAATACAAAAATTAGCTGGGCGTGGTGGTGTGCACCTGTGATCCCAGCTGCTAGGGAGGCTAAGGCAGAAGAATCACTTGAACCCAGGAGGCAGAGGTTGCAGTGAGCTGAGATCACACCATTGCACTCCAGCCTGGGTGACAAGAGCCAAACTCCCATCTCAATAAACAAATAAATAAAAACTTGTAGCCATATCCACATACATTAAAATGTAAGCAAATAAAAAGAGTTGTCCCAGAAGAGTTTACAATTTAAAATTCCCCATGCTTAAATATTTAATGGAAGATGAAAACTACAGTAAGAAAGTTCTTTAGGAAATTAGAATGGCTGTGGACATATCTCACAAGAATTTAAATTGCTGGAGGGAGACTTGGTAATATAGCAATTATTTCTTTTTTTTTTTTTTTTTTTGAGACGGAGTTTCGCTCTTATTACCCAGTCTGGAGTGCAATGGCACGATCTCGGCTCACCGCAACCTCCGCCTCCCAGGTTCAGGCAATTCTCCTGCCCCAGCCTCCTGAGTAGCTGGGATTACAGGCACGCACCACCATGCCCAGCTAATGTTTTTGTATTTTTAGTAGAGACGGGGTTTCACCGTGTTGACCAGGATGGTCTCGATCTCTTGACCTCGTGATCCACCCGCCTCGGCCTCCCAAAGTGCTGGGATTACAGGCTTGAGCCACCGCGCCCGGCAGCAATTATTTCTTTTGAAATAAACTGTAGATCTACGCTGTTCAATAAGATAGTCAACAGCCACTTAAAGCTACAGTATTCGTAATGCAGCTAGTCTGATTTGAGATACGCTGTCACACCAGAATGTGAAGATACAGAATAAAAGAAGACATAAAATAATCTAATCAGCCATTGGTTTATGTTGATTACATATTGAACCAATAATATTTTGGTTTTTTTTTTGTTTTTATTGAGACAGAGTCTCACTGTATCACCCAAACTGCATCCAGCGGTGTGATCTCGGCTCACTGCAAACTCTGCCTACCAGGTTCAAGCACTTCTCCTGCCTCACCCTCCCCAGTAGCTGGAATTACAGGTAACTGCCACCATGCCTGGCTAATTTTTTTGTATTTTTAGTAGAGACGGGTTTCTCCATGTTGGCCAGGCTGGTCTTGAACTCCTGACTTCAGGTGATCCTCCTGCCTTCTCTTCCCAAAGTGCTGGGATTACAGGCGTGAGCCAGTGCACCCAGCTGTGAATTGATAGTATTTGGGACCAATCGGATTACATTACTAAAATTTCATGTTTCATTTCCCTTTTTTAATGTGGCTACTTAAAAATTTGAAATTTCTCATGTCTTCACATCAAGGCTGGAAAAAAAAAAAATTTAAAATTACATCTGTCAGCCGGGAACAGTGGCTCACGCCTGTAATCCCACCACTTTGGAAGGCCAAGGCGGGCGGGTCAGGAGGTCAGGAGATCAGACCATCCTGGCCTATATGGTGAAACCCTGTCTTCACTAAAATACAAAAAAAAAAAAAAAAAAAAAGCCAGGCGTGGGATGTGGTGGCGCATGCCTGTAGTCCCAGCTACTTGCAAGGCTGAGGCTGCAGTGAACAGAGACCGCGCCACTGCACTCCAGCCTGGCGACAGAGCAAGCCAAGGTCTCAAAAAAAAAATAAAAATTAGACGCCGGGCGTGGTGGCTCACGCCTGTAATCCCAGCACTTTGGGAGGCCCAGATGGGTGGATCACCTAAGGTTGGGAGTTCAAGATCAGCCTGTCCAACATGGAGAAACCCGGTCTCTTTTAAAAAAAAAAAAAAAAAATTACATGTCTTGCATTCTGTTTCTATTGGACATCACTGCTATAGACATGTTTATAACAGCTGAAACAATTGGTGTTCTTGGTGTCTGAGACATGTTTGTGTGGATCTGGGAGGGAGGGGAGAGCTGTACACAGCAACAATCAGTTACCTAGTTACCTGCTGGTTGAGGTCAGCGCCCGTCTGCAGCTGCCAGAGAAGAAAGCAAGCAAGGCCGCCTCCTGCAGCCAAGTGGACAGGCGACTGCTTGCAGGGATCCGGGGGTGCGTTGACCGAGGCCCCTTTCTCCAGCAAATGCTTAAGACCGTCCACCTGCGGGAAGAAAACACATCCAGCACCCTTCTCTTTTCTCCAGTCCCGCGCCTCTTCGGGGTGCCAAAACTCCCCCAACTTCAAAACCAGCTCTGACGAGGCGTGACCAGGCAGCGCCCAGTGGCGAGTCCCCGCGTTCCCGAGAAGACGCGTCTGGAAGCTTGAGCCTGCAGGACAAAAGCTCGAGCTCTGTGAGCCTAAGTCTTACCTCCGGGTTGCAATCGAGCAACAGCATTTCCCGCCTCCGGCAGATGACAAAAGTCCTTCGGAGTTCAGAGCGGTGGGACACTCGCCGCACCCTGGCAGGTAAGAGTGCGCGGTCCCGCCCTAGCACGGGAGAATTTAAAGACCGCTGGGACTTGCGGGCCAGCCCCTGGCAGCTGCGCCCGGGCAGCCTAATCCACAGCAGCCCGAACCCGGCCCAGCCCAGCAACGGCGGCACGTACACAAACACTGGCACGTGGAGCCGGCGCCGGGGGCGGGGAAAAGGGGCGGGAGCGCGGGGCCATCCGCCGATTGGCCAGCTGCGGAGGCGCCGGGCCCGCCCACCTAGGGGCGGGGCCCGCGGCCGCCCCACGTAGCCGCAGCGCGCGTGCGCAGGGCAAGTCAGTGGGCGGGGTAGGACGGGCGTCGGGGCGGGTGGGGTTCCGCGGCCGCCATGAGGCGTGCTGCGTTTGACACGTCTCCTGGTAACGCGCCCGCCCTTTGATCCTTCTGGAGAAGCGGGAGTTTCGGCCGCAGGTTTTGGCTCTGCCTGCGCGCACGTAACCAGGAAACGGGGAGCCACAGGCAGCTCCCGGCGCCGGGGAACGCAAGTTCCTTTACCTCTCGCGCCGTCGCCGTCCTCCTAGCCCGGGAAGTGGAGGCAGGGGCGACGGGCCCGAATCCCAGGGGATGGCTGTCCCGAGCGGCAGCGGCCGAGCCCGGCCCGCCCAGGGACGCTTGTGGAGGGGCCCTCGGGGAGAGACCGCTCACGCTGGGGCCGTCACGCACGCCGGTCCACGCGGCGCGCGATCGAGACCCGCGGGGCTGGCGAAGCCGCCGTCCTGGGCGCGGGTGCAGTCGGGCGTGCGTGACCTGACCCGACGGCAGCCGCGGACGTCAGAGCTGCTCCCCGGGCTCGCCCTCAGCCTCCTTCCAGAAGGATCTGCCTAGACGCTAAAACTCCGGCCGAGCGTTTCTTTTTCCCTACATTTTTGGTGATCCCCTTCTGTTGGTGCGTTTGTGATGATGATGGACGAGCTCAAGCTTGCCCTCTAAAGATAAGTGGTCTTCCCATTCTAATTTTGGTCTTGTAGTAAGAGCCACAGTCTGCAATTGCAAGTTTGTTATTATACTTAGTTACCCAAGGGGTAGTTTTAAGCATTTTTATTGATATGAATATTTGAACATAAACGTGTGTTCAAATATAATCATTCTTAATAGTCCGTATTTTTAACATTTAATCTATTCACGATACCTTTTAATGGTGTGTAAAGAATGGCACTGCAGAGATACTGTTGTCAGATTTATGAGGTGAGCATATGTCCACATTGCCAATTTCCCTTTTATCAAATCAATAAGCACACTGCTTTTCTAAAACTGTACGTTAGGTTCTGGGGTACATGTGCAGATCATGCAGGATTGTTGCATACATGGCAAGGTGGTTTGCTGCCTTCATCCCCCATCACCTGTACCTGGTGTTTCTCCCCTCATTATCCCTTCCCCCCCCCCCCACCCCGTGTATTTGAGCTCCAGGTTTGCACAGAAGTTCCTTTTCAGGAATCCCTAACTACTAAAGAGTATCAGACACGTTCTTAGAGTTCTGAACATAAATATTGCAGTTAGCATATGTAATGGGATGGTTCTGTGGTGAAAGTGCCTCCGTATTTCATTTCTTTGAAACAAGATTCTGTTCAGTATGCATGAAGTCTGGTCGTTTAACTTCCTGTTCCATATGCATATTTCACAAGGAGAAGAAATTTCGGGAGTCGTTACAGCTTTTCTCCCTTTAATCACAGCAAACTTGTCCATTGCTTACATTGTTTTCAGAGAAAAAGTGATATCTCAGCTGGATATCTGACTCATCGTTAGTCATGGGCCTAGAAAGTATAAACTGAACAAAGCTTATAGTGCACAAAAACATGGTAAGTACATTTGGGGACAATATCTTACTGGCAAGTAACGAGTTTCACCAGGCGTGTAGCACGTGGGATGAGTTTTCTAAAAAGGAAAATAATCTAAGATGCATATCCAATAGGCGTTCTCCTAAGCAGTGCTAATTTTACATGTTTTAATTGCTGATATATGTGTTTCCAGAATGAGGATGTCATTTAGAGTGTTTAAAAAAAAAATGTTGGATGATGTGTAAGTGACCAAATAAATGAGAGATGTGTGGGCTGAGTCTTGAGGCGTAAGACTTTGCTAAGTAGTCCAGGAAGGGAAGAGTATCTCTAAGAAGTGTGAAATATCTTCTAGTATTGAGAGCGCTATGTGTAGTTCAGTCTAGGGCAGTGGATGATACACGTACAACAGTGCTGTGAAGTAGAGAGGCTGACACGTGAGAAAGGATTAACCACTAACGCCTGTTCCAGTTTATTATATTACAAATGGACATTCAGTGAGCGCTTGTGCCTCAAGACTAGTGCTGATAGATATTACCTACATGTTACAGAAAAGGAAATTGAGGCTTAGGGAGCTCCATTAACTTGTCATGTAATGATCAGAAGGTAAATGAGGAATTTGAACCCAGTTTGACTCCAGAGCCCACATTCTTATACCTGTACGTTTTAAAGAATTGTGGTCACCTCTGGTAAATTCAGGCTACTAAGATTGGTTTCTGTAATGCAAAATTAAGCCTTTTTTTTTTTTTCCTGAAACAGAGTCTTGCTCTGTCACCCAAATTGGAGTGCAGGGGCGTGATGTCAGCTCACTGCAACATCCATCTCCCGGGTTCTAGCGATTCTTGTGCCTCAGCCACCCAAGTAGCTGGGATTACAGTTGTGTGCCACTACACCTAGCTAATTTTTGTATTTTTAGTAGAGACGGGGTTTCACCATGTTGCCCAGGCTGGTCTTAAACGCCTGACCTCCAGTGATCCACCTGCCTCTGTCTTCCAAACTGCTGGGATTACAGGCATGAGCCACCACACCTGGCCGCAAAAGAAAGTCTTCAGAGAAAATTATTATAATCCATAGAAAAACAGCTTTGTCATTTAGTAATGACTGTTAACGTAGCCTTGTTCCTGGAATTGAATCTCCCACAATACTAAGCCTAGTACTTCCTATTCAGTTACTCTTGAATAAGTGAATCGTGCCAGGTGAAAATTATTAGACGTAGTTGGTAGAACCAATAAGCTAATTTTTTTTTTTTTTTTTTTTTTTTTTTTGAGACAGAGTCTGGCTCTTTCGCCCAGGCTAGAGTGCATGATCTCGGCTTATTGCAACCTCCACCTCCCAAGTTCAAGTGATTCTCCTGCCTCAGCCTCCCAAACAGCTGGGATTACAGGCACCTGCCACCACGCCCAGCTAGTTTTTGTATTTTTAGTAGAGACAGGGTTTCATGTGTTGGCCAGGCTAGTCCTGAGCTCCTGACCTCATGATCCACCTGCTTTGGCCTCCCAAAGTGCTGGGATTACAAGCATGAGCCACCGCGCCAGACACCAATGAGCTAATTTTATCTATTTCCGGCTTGCTGTGTTTTCCTGTTTCTTATTAAGAAAACACTGGAAAGCATTACCTAACTGCACAGCACTGAAAGGAGCAGTAATAGAGAATACCTAGTAATTCCCAGTTACTCTTATAAAGCGGTAATTGGATTGTGTATATTTAGTAATGCCATAGAAAGGTTTAGCTCTAAAGCAAGTGACAGAATGTAAAGTGAAACTAAAAATCTCGCCAGATGCAGTGGCTCACGCCTGTAATCCCAACACTTTGGGAGGCTGAGGCGGGCAGATCACTTGCGGCCAGGAGTTTGAGATCAGCCTGGCCAACATGGTGAAACTGTCTCTTCTAAAAATACAAAAATTAGCCAGGTGTGTGGTGCGTGCCTGCAATGCCAGCTACTTGGGAGGCTGAGGTGGGAGAATCACTTGAATCCAAGAGACAGAGGTTGCACTGAGCCAAGATCATGTCACTGTACTCTAGCCTGGGTGACAGAGTGAGGCCTCATCTCAGAAATACTGAAAACTAAAATTCTCAATAGCTGGCCTGGTTTCACATGTATTTTTTAAATCTCTTGAGAATATCATAGCACCAAAGCATTGAAGTAATATGGACCAAGCATTTCTGACTATGATATCTTAATTGTTTATTACCGTCCAGGAACCCACGATATATCAACGTTGACCAGAGTCCACTGAGCCTTAGAAGTAACAATATTTTTATTAATAATTATATTGTGGCAATAATAGTTCTGTCGTTCATATACTGAAGGTGAAAATATCATTCCAAATATGAAAACTTTTCAAAGACTGGAGGTTTTAGCCAGATCTGGAATTTCAACAGATTTTTAAAGTTTTTTTTTAAAAAAACATCCACAGATTTAAAATGACTTGAATTAATCAGATATAATTCTGGCCTTCATTGGCCACTGTCAAGAAATCCCTTACCCTAATGATTGTAAAAACGGAAGGATTTCTCACAAAGAAATCCTTTAATGTAGATTAAAGGATTAATTCCTCTTTAACGTAAATTCTTCTAGCACTGATAACTCAAATTTCTTGGGGAAGGTGATAAATTGTATAGTTATTCTAAACAACTGCTGCAACAGGATATTGTGGCAAAAAGAGAAAGTATAGCTATCCTCTTTTGATGTTTAATTTCCTGAGAGCATATAATCAAAAGGGTTCCAGTGGTCTCAATGGCAACCATATTTAAATGTCCACTTCTTCACTGTGTACTAAGAACTTGGAGAAATTGAAGAGTATTTCATATTTTTGTTATTTCTTCCCCTGGTCATATATTCCTCTCAATGACATCTGGAAATTACAGATGATAAATTTATAGAATTACATGAAGTAAAGAAAAAGGTAGAAAGTTAGTCCTTCATATTAAACTGATAGATGGGGGGAGCCAGGTTTCTTATTGTTGGAGAGGGAAATAGAACGACTAAAATGAGCCACGTGGTAATGGGTTTGTCCACAATATCAGTAAGAATTCATAGTTAATAAAGATGTATAGAAGCAGAAATAATTACAGGTGTGCGTGTATACAGGGGTTAGCATATGTCTGTGTCCTAGCTCTGCCTGCTGTGAGAGGGCCTAAAGCAGTGACACCCCATAACAATGAACCCACCTAGCACCCCGATCTGGCTTTCTGATGCCATTCCCTAGTAAAAGAAACCAGGGCTCCTTGCAGAAATTGCTGATTCTAGGGCTGGGGCAGGGAAAATACAAGATGAGCCTGAGCATCTTTTATACCAGAACAAGTAAGGAAATGCTCAAAAAGCAAAAGGATGGGACACGCCAAAGGGACCTAGGAGCCGACCTGAAAGAGCTCCCAATGGCCAAAACTGGAACAAACTCATACACTGTTGGATTATGACTCAGTAAAATAGGTATCCGTGAGCCTATACAGATATAAACAACTGAATGAATAAATAAATGGGAGACAGAAGACAATGCTTCTTTAGAAAAGAATTTCAAATACTTAATGTAGGTATTCCCTGGTGAA